CGATGGCACCTAACAACAACAACAAATAGGAGAAATAGGGAGTGTGGTGGCTGCATAGGACCATAACATCTGCAGTTTGAGCCCACCAGCTGCTCTGCAGGAGAAAGAAAGACGAGGTTTCTGTTCCTGCGAAGATTTACAGCTTCAAAAACCCTGTACATGGTCACTGTGAATGGGAACTGCCTTGAAGGCACTTGACAACAATAAATACTGTCTTCATATTCCTAAAATGAGAATTTAAATAGTACATGCTGGTTAAAATGAATAGCTTATGACAATTTAAAGGATGAGTCGTTCACACCACGGAACACTGCCGGGACTATAGGATAAGCACTGGACTGATCATCACAAGGTCAGCAGTTCAAACCCAGCAGCTGCTTCTCAGGTGAAAGATGAGACTGCTTCTGTAAAGATTTGTACAGTCTTGAAAACCATATAGAGGACCCCTGTGAATGGGAATCAGTTTGATGGCAGTGAGTTTTTGTTGTTGTTGTTGTTGTTTGAGAGTTGGTATGATTAGTTAGGGGAAATCAGGAAATTTGGACAAATTTAGGAAGTGAAGCTTATTGTAGTTTCCAGAGCAGGTCTTCTAAGAAAGGGTATGTTGTTGTTAAGTGTTGTCCAGTTCTGACTCACAGCAACCCTGTATAGGGTTTCCAAGGTTTGCAGTTCAAACCTACCTTGTGGTCCAGTGCATTACCCTGAAGTATCACACCAGGACTCTAAGGAAGGTAATAGATAGAGTAAGACAATGGGGGAGAATGGGGACAGGGAGTGACATGTTTAGGTTACTTCAAGATCCACTTTCCCAAATGAAACTGGGATAATGCGTGTGTGTGGTGGGGTGGGGGATCAGTGGATTTACCTGTTTCTCAGCTGTTGTTTCTTTTTACCATGCACGTTAATAGTATTTATCAGAAACTTACCCACTTCTGAACATAAAAATGAGTCCTGACTAGGAATCAGAATCTTGAGACTCCACCTCTGCCCAGTTCAATAAAGTGAAACATTTTAATTAGATGAATCATATGAACTAGAAAATCTGTTAACTTTGGCAAAGGTTTTGTTTTTGAGCCTGGTGTGGTATAGGTACATGTGCTTTGGGGCCAGGCTGTCCGTGGACTCTAGCCTCAAAGATGGTTGTTACTTTGGTTGCTAATGACAAAACCAACTATCATTTATTGTCACTTTTCTAAGCACTTTCACTTTGTTGTTGTTGTTGTTGTTGTTAAGTGCCATCGAGTCAGTTCCGACCCATAGCGACCCTGTACACTTTCACTTAGAGTTCTCTAAACCGGTGCTTCTCAATATTTAATGTGTATAAGGGTTACCTGACATTCCTGGTGTTTAACTGGAGAATCTGATTTAGTAGGTCTGGACTGAAGTCAGCTTCTGCATATCTCAGGAGTCAGCAGTTACTGCTATTCTGTGGTTCATACTTAATTTTTTAAACTTTTTCTTGTGAATTGAGTGAAGGTTTACAGAGCATATCATCAGTTTTACGTTCAATAAATGATAGACTTCATTTCTTTTTGATGATTGCAATCCCCTGAATGTAACATCACTTATCCATCCCACTTTCTCCCTCTGCTTCTCATTACTATCCCTCCATCTTCCCCAACCCTTCTGAATTCTGTCTTTTGGTAAATGCTGCCTGTTTGACCTAGAATGCTTGA